CGAACAAAAGAATAGCTGTTTGAGTCAATCTCAACTGAGGTTTTATTAACCAGAAACCTGGGACAAAAAGTATTTCAGCTGCTTTCATTTAGTCAGTTTAACGTGATCGAGAATATCTTCGAAACACTAACCTATCCAAGTGTACTAAGTGGATTCTAAGCACGCGTGAAAAAAAAACAAAGGATGTTTCAGCCGAACAAATCAAACTACTGACTAAAACCTTCTCTCGAACTCGGTTGTCTGGGCAGAAGGCTTGAGTTCTCGTACGTCCTAGTCGGCTGAATAAATCACTAGTGGCTTCTCATTTCATAGGTTAGCTTGCGTCTGGGACAAATCTGCCAGAGACTTTTTGCTTAGTTTGTAAACCACAAGCGGTTTGTGCGGCGCCAAATGGGCGTCACGTGCTGCTTGTGTGAACATAAACCTGAAGTATTCGGGTAGGCGGATAGACGCATCAGGACCCGTTGAAAGTCACCAACCGGTATGAACATAACACTGATCATCAGCACACTAAGGCACCCGGTGTCGTCCATCGATTCTTTCAGGTTTACTCAGAGTGCTGCACTTCCCTCCAGATGACCTAATAAATAGTTAGTCTCCCTGGGTCGGAATGGGTAAGCAAGCGGTAAGCAGCAGCAGATTGGCTCCCTTTATTGTCATCTGCTGGTGTTACAATAGAGTCGAGCAGCCACTGTCCAGAAATCGGAGCAGCCTTACATCCGTACGAGTACCCTGGTGACTGACAAGTCCCGTTCCGTTCAGTCATGCACATCCACGTGTACGCACATCCATTTGGCTGTCAGTGCACTTGACACAGTACGGTCTCTACCTTTAACGGCTATTTGGATGCTTTCTTCGTTTATCCTAAGACATAGAAGCGAGATGGCACAGTGGTTAGAGCGCGAATTTGCTGGCTGGAAGGTCCGTGATTGGAATCCGACCTCCGCTTCTCGACTTCCCCTGTCCAGGCTTGGGCAACCTGGCAGTATCCTGGCCCTCATGCTTCCTTCCATGAGCATGACAGCTAGACACTGAAAGGGTGCTGCAGCTGAACGATTTTTTTATATCATTAGACGTTCTGGTGAAGGCTCCCTTTCCAGCTCCTTGCACGGGTTGGCGTCGTCACAAAAGAGACAGGCCAACAACGTCGCTCACCGCTGTCACATCTGAGGCCGATTTTGAGTTCACAGTGTTTGACACTGGAAACAAGAGTGCGACTAAACGTGTGCAGGCCTTCCAGCTGATTGTCACATGAAAAGTTACAGTTCGCCGCCTCATCCTAACGCAGGAGCCAGCCGGTGTAAAGTAATCACATTTGACTTACTTAACCCACCATATCTATTAACGTTAAAATGATAGTCTTTGGGTCCCAATTTGGTAATCACATTATGTAATTTGTAGATAGTGAGTTTTTCAATTTCCAAATAAGATTTGATCAAGTGAAGTTATTGCGATGAGAAGCCCACATCCACTGCAGATGTGCGAATCTCACACGGGTCTTTACGGAGATTCGAACTCATAATCCTCCGGTCAGAGGAGTATGAAGGAGGTCACGAAACGCTTGGGTGCTGTCGGTGCTACTCGCCTTCCAGGGTGGGGACCGCGTGATCATCACTGTGCCTGGTTGGAGACACTACAAGATATGACTGCCAACCGATGTCAGTGGCGTTCCTGTTGTCAGTTTCTATCCAGATTGCCTGAGTGAATGTCTGGAGGTGTAGGCACCTCGGAATGATTGTGTTAAGCTAGCACTAAGTCCCTCCCCCATCCACCTTTATTCTTTTCTTTACAATAAGGCTTTCAAATAAGTCATGGTTGTACGGCAGTGAAGCATCGATGTTGAACACTGATGTCATGCTGTTGATGATGATACTGATGATGATGATGGTCACTATCTTAACACCATACCACTCGGCTATTAGTGGTCGAGCAGCAACTACAGAGAAAAAGAAATAACCTGTCGCAAAAATTCTTGCCTTCTGCGGCCCTATGTTTTGAGTAAACAAGCCAGTCAGATTTGCATGCACTGAGGTCATTGACACTCCGAAGCTCAGCGGTGGGGTCATATTAAGATCACTGGGGGGTTGACATTCACTTCAGTCGCATCATCACTACTGGAGGACAAAAAGAGCCATTAGTCTTTAGAATCGCGAATTTGAGCCACGTAAGTTGCATATTTGGCGTGCACATATCAAAAGATATCGTTGAGGAGGATGAACGGGAACACTAGGTATAGGTACAAACCACACCCTTGAGAATCTGTGAAGTTGGAATAAGTCGAGAAAATGCAGCTGAGCAAGTTTACAGTCAGTAGAGATTTTGGTCACTGTTAGAAGCAGCAGATGGTGGCACTTAAACCACGAATATTGTAGAAAGCGCGGCAAGATTGAGTATTTCTTCTGTCGTGTTTTGTAAACAGGAAGAATGATACCCGCCCAGATGTTCCATGTGGTGAGCCACATGTGGCTCGTATGGGTTGGGCGGAAGTGTGAGCTGCTTATCACAAAATGTAATCGCGTTTACTGGCCTAAATCTATGAATTCGATTGTTCACACCAATGATCCATTCCTTACACCCATACGTCATAAGTGGACTCACATTTGTGACTGCTGACCCTTCTAACTAAAACTCAAGTATCATTAGCATATTTCATGCTCGTGATAACACGGTTTCTTATGTTTCACCGAAATCCATCATTCCCGAA